TTTCTGTCTTCAAATTTGATGCTGAGGTATCTACAATCAATATCTGCCTCATTCCATAACGAGCAGTATTAGTTCACATATGATTAGATTGGAAAAGAGTTAGGGATGGTCAAATAAAAAAACCTTGGCGTCAATCCATGAAGTCTTTGAGCAAAGTAGGGAGGTGTAGACTGTCTGGTTGGAGTCCGATTATTGCTAAGATGCGATGACTTTAGATAGTAAGTGATGTGACTCAAAATTGTTCTAAATGGTGCAAACGCACTCACCCTTTGTGATTTCTCACATCCATTAGACCCTTTTGTTTTTTCTATGTCACTGTAGAATGCAGGTACATCCAGATGACGAGTCCCATAATAGGACGAAACGCGCATTCTCGATCCCGCTGCTAGTCACCATCCAACAATTAACTGTTATTTCTTCTCTACATTTCTACTAATTGTAGCTCTTCTGAATCTCTTTTTCTCTCTTTTCCTTGCCTTTATATGCAACACGGATTGTAGCGTCTTGGATTGTTGCGTTTCTATGCTAAGTTATATTTTGAAACTCGGTTGGTCAGTCAGCACCTGTTGAGTTGTTTGTAGACAGATTTTTTACATATTGCTGACATAAAAGCTACTACTGAGCGTAATTAATCAAGTTACTCTACCTTCTTATATCTGTAAGATTATGTAGAATGGGATAAGATGTAGTGTGACATACAGATACTTATATACTACAGCGTAGATGGACAGACTGACAAATAAAGAAAAGGCCTTCAAACGAATATTTGTCATCTCAGTTTATAGCAGTCTGAAACAGCATAAAATAGTATATCACCCTTTCTCACGAATTGTGTGATTTATCATGTGATGGAGTTACTCTATGTGAATGTATCATTTCTAACGCATATTGTGATTTAGTGTATGACCAATTTATCTTCTTTTGTCTCACCTTGATCTTTGTCTGATTACCAACCTGTCAGGATAGATAATTCCAACAATAAGAACAACACATTCCCACGGTCGTGAGTCGACTTTATTATGGTTAAGAAAATGCATAAATATCATGTGTTGTTTCTTAAACTGTGTAGTACAGTATAATACAGTATCTTACATTCACAGGCCAGCCTTGGTCTTTTGGTATTTGCATGGCTCAGTGAATCGGAAAGCATAATGGACAAATAGACGTATTAGCTTACTAGTCGAGTTCATTATCGTTATAGTAATCAATAGGCGCAGACATGACAAAGCAGCAACAGACTATTCAAATCATTTCAGTTATAACAAATTGGCAACGGAGTTATAACACTTTGATGATACATTGTAACGGCAGAAATTATGTACACCTGATATGAAAATCGTCATTTGCACATATCTTCCGTGTTGTGCTACTTCTGTTCTTCATTTTGTATTTCTTTGTGTTCGTTTCATGTCTCGCAAGTATCTCCGCAACGCTGAATCATTTACTTTCTCTGACATCAAAGCTATCTCCCTGCTATTTGATATTTTTATTTCGATGAACATCTCTTTACACACATGCGTATATATATATATATATTTTACGAGTTGATCACGGATTGATATCAGTTAGAGAACCATCGAACACCAGCGAGTACTGGACAGCTGCTGTTTCGTCCTAGTTTGGGAATCATCGGCTGTAGGCACCCACTGGGATTCGAACCCAGAACCTTCCGGTTACAAGGCAAGCTCGTATACCATTCAGCCACTGGGACCTGATTCAATGGCTCATGAATTCTAACTTCTACCGATTCGTGATTTAGCGCGACCCCAACCATTGTCGTTGGTGGAACGTCCATCCACACACGTGGACCTCACTGGTCACGACTTCTCACTAGAACTCCAGGAAGCTCCATCCTGTAGCAAGTCACTAGCGAGCATCAGATTAATTTTCTATAGTTTGGTTTGCAAGGATTAGTTATGTTTTATGGGTGCGTACTGCTGATGATTCCCAAACTAGGATGAAACAGCAGCTGTCCAGTACTCCCTGGTTTTCAATGGTTCTCTAACTGATATCAGTCCGTGATCAACTAGTAAAACATAACTAATCCTTATAAACCAAACTATAGAATATATATATATATATATATATATATATATATGATTTAATAGTGTGAAATAATCCCTTATCATGAATTAAAAGTCAATCTGAACGAAGAATGTTCTTTTCAGTTAATTCCCCTCTTCAAGTTCTTACAATTATCAAATATAATATTTATTGTCGTTACAATAATGGCCAGTTATGCGACGGATACATCTTTTAACGTAGAATAACAGATTAGTTATCGTAGGGCGTCAAAATAAATAGTCGTATTTGTGTGACAAACGTGTTCTGGGCTGAAATCGATTACAAAATATTGTGAAATGGGAATGGGAGACAATGGTGGTGATTAGTTATAATAGATTTGTAGAGTGTGGGGTAGGAAAATTGGCAAGTCAGTTCAAGGTTATAAAAGGTGTCAGGTGAATGGCTAGTAAAAAGTGGTCTATATTAAACAGGAGATAGCAAGACTGTAATGAAAGGTTCATAATGAAATAATGAATGTGTGAAATGAAACAGGTGGAGGCATATATTGAGAGAAGAGATAATACCACTAATAATAAGTCCTGATAGTATAAATGGAAAATTCGATAGTATTGAGAGGATGTTTGCATGAAGGGCATAAATGTTGACGAATAGTAATTGTAGTTATAAGCAAAGGAGAACAAAAAATCAAAAGGGTTAGGGGGAAGAAGCACTGTTGGTGAGAAGAAGAATCATCAATCCAAGTTTAGCCACGGTAAGAACAGCGTCTGGACGACTTGACTATCTCCTGTTTAATACATACAACTTTGTACTAGCCACTCACCTGACACCTTTTATAACCTTGAACTGACTTGCCAATTTTCCTACCCCACACTCTACAAATCTATTATAACTAATCACCACCATTGTCTCCCATTCCCATTTCACAATATTTTGTAATCGATTTCAGCCCAGAACACGTTTGTCACACAAATACGACTATTTATTTTGACGCCCTACGATAACTAATCTGTTATTCTACGTTAAAAGATGTATCCGTCGCATAACTGGCCATTATTGTAACGACAATAAATATTATATTTTATGATTGCAAGAACCTGAAGAAGGGAAATAACTGAAAAGATTGACATACATATACTACTGACAAATCTTATCAGTAGCACACGCCTCAAATGAAACCAATAATTGCTCCATCTGATCGGTCGTATTTACCTCGTTGTATTAATGTGAATGTTGACTTAAAGTCGAAGGTTATCTAAGTTAATTAATCGTTTGAAAAACTACAGGTTACGAAAACTACAACGTAGCTTATTACTTTAACTAACTGAAGTCATTTCGAACAATCTGATCACACATTTACTTGTCAAGTCAATATATATGGAAAAGTTAAGTTAAACAAAGTGACAAAAACAAAGAATTAAGAATAATTAACACAAACGTTTGGTAATCCAATCAAATAAGGATTACCAAGGTAGGTTAAGAGTAATGACAAACTGTTTTTGAATACACAAGGGGGGCTTAAGTTTATGAATGGCTATAGCCTCAGCGTATTTCAGTAAACGTCCTTGACCTACTATGCAGCCCAGCTTGTAATTGTCGAAAAGGCTAAAAGTATGCTTCACTGGAAACCTCAAAAGTGCACAAGTGATTATATCACATCCCATACAATTTACCAATTTTCGTGTGTGTGGACATACATACATAGGGAGGAGTAATCGCGCGTTGCACGTGAGGGTGGGAGAGCATATCCCAAAGTGGTTAGGAAAACAGATGAATTGTGACAAGCCCATAGATGCAGGTGCTAGACTACCAACTTCGTCTATACCCAAACATTTAATCGAGATGAACCATAAGGTTGATGTTAACTCAGCCTTTAAGGTCATCTATAAAAACGGTCAAGGACGTTTACTGAAATACGCTGAGGCTATAGCCATTCATAAACTTAAGCCCCCCTTGTGTATTCAAAAACAGTTTGTTATTACTCTTAACCTACCTTGGTAATCCTTATTTGATTGGATTACCAAACGTTTGTGTTAATTATTCTTAATTCTTTGTTTTTGTCACTTTGTTTAACTTAACTTTTCCATATATATTGACTTGACAAGTAAATGTGTGATCAGATTGTTCGAAATGTATAGCGCAAATACATCACATAGCTTTTCAGATAATCTCCATCTTCCAATAATGCTATCAAAATTTATAAAAGGGTCTGACTGTTTGAAGTCATTTCATTCGTTTAAAGTTATGTAACTTATTTCACTCTCCTTCTTCTCCTGCTCTGGTAAGTTTTGAAGAAAACACTAGTTTGTAAAATGAAAATATTTCAAGAGAAAGGTTAAGAAGAAATAATTGCAAGTCTAGTACTATTTGATCTGAATATCGGCATTAGGGTACTGTCTTCCTAGTGAAAAGAAACACTTTGTATTTTGATCCTAACTGTTCACTCACTGCCTACTGGTTGACTGATTGATGCACTAATGTACAACTTTCCAAAAAAAGATCTAGCCCATGTGGCTACCAGAAGAAAGGCTTATCAAAATAGAGTGGCTGAAGAAGAATGATGCTATTACAGACCTCCAAATTTGGAGGTGATAATGAGGATGATTAAATGAAGATTATTGTGGATTTTTAGAATCTGAAGAATGATAAGAACTACATGTATACCATTGTGAACGGTTTTGAACCACCTTTCCAACAGTATTCTAGCATGTTAAGGATGAAAGTCTTCCATCCACGGTTCAAATCAACAGCCAATGAATTCGTGGACTGACGTAATATTTAGAGCTGTTCACCTGGAAATGTTTTTCAACTTAATCCTACTTCAACTCAAACTGGTCAGAGAAGAGTAAGCTGGATGTGCAACTGTTGAATCTGAAAAGGTTATCGAATAGGAGACTTTCGTCCAGTGGTCACTGTTTACTTAACAAAAAAGCGTACATATAAAAAATAAATGAAAACGTAAAACATATGCTACTTACTAAGCGGGCTTCATATCTTAAAACTTTTTGTGCATAATCGACTTGTTTAGCAAAATCAGCTTTTGGGGGTTTTAGTATAAACGATTTTGTTGAAGACAAACTATCTTCAATTGTACCATATCCGGTATATGGTGGAATTTCCTGTTTAAAAAAGTTTTGTATTCAAAAGAAAGGGAAAATAGTCAAAAGTTACGTTACGCATTTACAAAAATAACAACAGATTGACAGAAGAAATATGCATCCCTTTTCAATTAGTTCCTCATCATCGCCTGGCTAGCTCTACACTAAAATGTAGTTGTTTTTTACATCAAAATGTTTTACCAATCAAATGGCGATTTTAGTTAATCAGTTTTAGGTATAGCGGGGGTGGGGTGAAATCAAGAGGTCATCAAAACAAATAACTAATAGGTGTTAGTAACAAGATATCTAAGTTTCTGAAGGAGGGGTGAAAATTAATTACGAAATTCTAGATAATTCGACTCTTATGCGTTAGGAACAAGTTATTTCATAATCAAGAAATTCGTAAAATAATGATGATGACTAAGAAGAATAGGATGACTCAGAAGAGTTACGTAAAATACAAACAAGTTAATAAAATTAGCTAGAATTGTAAAAAATAATGAGAAAGTCAAAAGATAGTTACAAGGGGGAGGGGAAAAACTCGTTTTTAAAAACTTAAAACATATTATATAGTTGGCCATGGCAAAGAAAGGGGCTGTACAAATTTCTGAAAACTATCCTCATAACTGGTTATCTACAGCACCTGAACTTTTGAGTTAATCAAATGAAACAAGGAAGATATTCTCGCTTATTTTAGGGCGGTAATTGTTTATACGTGTCAGGCAATCAAACAGCTTAATGGAGGGATTTTCCAGTCGTGATGACGCGAAACCTCTGTTGAATATATGGAACCAGGGATTAAGTAAAGCGTTATAACCAAGTTATCAAGTTGTACGAATACAGTGATATGATTATGAGTAGTAAGTTCGGCTTGAAAAATCATCAAATTATTCATACTGTATTTCTGCGTGCTATATCCAATAAACTTATCCAACATGAAATAACAAGTTTTTCACTATGTAAACTGTTAATGTTCCGTAATCTCAAAGGAAATGGATATAAAATTGCAATATTCTGAAGAGACTACTGTAGTTTATGTAAGTGATTCAGAACAGCTAAAAGTGGTTAACTGACGATTACAAATAGAACATTTGCCTGTCAATCAGACGGCTCAGGATCACTCGTTATCATGTAATTTCTGAATATCACTACTGTCTGTTCTATCAATCTTTCTTTAAAAGAATGATTAGTGAACATAGAATATTTTTTCAGTAACTTCTTCGTTATTACTTCTTGTTATCTGTTAACAAGAAGCCTCTGTATATGATACTACAATTCAAGGATGATGTACCAGATTAAATAATAACCAGTAAGCTATGTTGCCGCTAGGCTGCAACTCCTATTTTCCACAGGACAGGTTGTGATTTCTCAGGTGAAGGACAAATTACGCAGACTAGCCGCTTCTTCTTGTATCTCTCAGTTTAACTGCTCCTTTGGATCCAGTTATGTTGGCAGTTGCTTTAGGAAATTGGTTTTTCGTGCTTAGGAACACCTACCAGTGTGGCTAAATCAAGGTGTAGTAGAAACCATCAACAGTTCTATATTAGACCGCTCGATCTAAACAGGCCGTAAAGCTAATATTGAAGAATCTTTTCCTGTCACCAATCAGATACCAAATACACTGCCAAGAGCCCCTAGGTACCCAGTACTTCAAACAGCACCAGTCATTGTAACTCACTTTAAACAACTGGTACTCTACGTGCTAAAGAAACAGGTCTACCCTGGACTGCTATGGCATCTATCACTTCATATATTCTGTATTACTTTTCCTTATCTACCTGATATTCAGTTAAGTGTTATGTTGATGCATATTATCACTTGCATATGCTTTTGAACTATAATCTGTTCTTATTACTGATTCGATATTAATTAAGACTTTAAAAAAGTTAACCACTACAATTCTTTAATTATCATGTGCATATGACTGTAGAACCTTAATGAATAAGTTATCGAAAAGAATAATCTGTATTCATTGACCTCTTTTTCAAATATTTTCCTAGATTGCAGTTCATTTCGAATCTGCTTCCTGGGTAATTTCATTGAATCCTGGCGAGAATATCAATATGTTCTAATCAATTGGCCTCACCATATTGAACGAAATATTCCCATATTGAGTCATAAGAAAAAGGCACAAACAGCGAAGAAAATTTTCTTTTCGACGATTCATTTTCATGAGCTGTACAATCGTAATTATAATTAACAAAGAATTCATAAGACTGATCAGATACTGGTAAATTTTGTCCTTGGAAAATTGTATTACATAATGTAAGGTGTAAGAAGGGATGACTAATTGTAAGTTAGAAAGGAGACAGAAGTTGGCATGATGTAATAAGTGTGAGATAGTGAATGATCAATAATCTCACTACCTCACACTTATTACATCATGCCAACTTCTGTCTCCTTTCTAACTTACAATTAGTCATCCCTTCTTACACCTTACATTATGTAATACAATTTTCCAAGGACAAAATTTACCAGTATCTGATTGGTCTAAAGATTTCTTTGTTAATTATAATTACGATTGTACAGCTCATGAAAATGAATCGTCGAAAAGAAAATTTTCTTCGCTGTTTGTGCCTTTTTCTCACCATATTGCATAATAATTTTCATAATTTTAACCTATTTTTAAGGCATATATATTTGATGAGTATTTCTAAGTAAATATATATTAATGTAACAGTACTAAATGTACCACTAACAACCTACACATAGTTTCCTTTTAGAAGCCCAAAATATGCGATCTGTTTGATAATATTAAACGATAGTCAAGGAAGCAAATAAAGTATTATGATGGTACTTACTACACACCACTAACTGATACAGTCCTAAGGCAAGAACGGCTATGAAGTGTTTAAATCACTCCAAACTGGCTCCTAAGAGCTTCTATTTAATTTGAGCAGTTTACAACTACTCGTATGCACATCGACGAAATCGATCGCAACGGAAAGTTGATTACAATTACATGAATATAAAAATCGAGAATTATACAACTGTTGATCATAGGACCAATGTAAAATATTCGAAGAATGAAATTAAACATATTCTTCGATTTCTAAAAGACCCTCATGATATTGTTAATCTGAACTTGAGTAAGAATATCAGTATTCCGTTATACACTACTCACTAGTGAGTAAGTAGTATGTGACGAAGTCAATGTTTTGAGTTTTTATAATACAAAAATGGAAATTTCTTCATTTTTTTCCATTTTTATACTTTACTTTTTTATGCTTAGTTTATTTTTCAGGAAGGAAATACTTCTAATCTTCAGACATATGCTATGTAATTTCTAGCGTTTTAAAAAAAATTTTGTTGTTAAGCAACGTGAAAGGTAATTTCCTTTTTTTATATCTATAACAGAAACAGAGTTCTTCAAGAACTTACTAACAAGGCACCCCAAGCCACAATAAAACTGAATTGATAGCAATTATAAGATTAATATCAACTGATAAGGGTTTTATTTCCATAAGTCCGTAACTCTACAGAAATACACCCATGAAATTGTGGGTGGTATACGGATATATATGTTGTAAAATTATTTTAATGTTGTGGCAGTCCATATTTTAAAAAAAGATGGTGAATAATACAGATGTCAATGAGTGTTTTTATCTGAGTGGTTTCACTGAGAAGCGTTCATTTTCTGTCTAAACAGCGACTCCAGCTCTAACTACGTAATGAAGTTGGCTTTATGATTAAACAGAGATCACGTCAAGCAGCTGTAGAGAAGTAAGTGGGACTGTATCACCCTGAAGTAATTTGGTGGATGATAACCAGCAGTTGAATCCAGGATGCAAACTTCACACCTGTATTCCCCAGAGAGTGATGGTGCTCTCAATGAGGCTTGAAACCAGTACCCATCGTTTCGAAAGTCAAAGGTTTTCCATTAGATTCACTTAAACGAATAATGACTGATGGCCGCTGGATAGCAGGTGGCTCTCTTGGCCCAAGTGGTCTAATGAATAATGCTTTGTCGTTTGAAACGATGGGTACTCAGATCAAGTTTCAGTGGGGACCCTATCACTTACTGGGGATCGAAAGTACATCCAGTGATGGGTCCCAAATAGGACGAAGTGAGCAACATACATCCTACTATTAGTCATCATCCACCAAATTACTTCAAGTTAGTCCTCGGACACTTTGAAGCGTCCGTACTAGGAGTTGACATATCAACAGAGGCTGAATATTCCGGTCGAATCTATCAATGGGAAAATCAAAAATTCCTTTAATCATGTACTGTATCGCCATAATATTTATCATATTAGTATATGTATTACAAAATTCATAACTTTTGGATGTTTCTAGAAAATTCTTCTGCGTTCCGAATGAAACGTCGGTCTTAAGACTTGAGCTTTGAGGTTTCAGTAGCAATGGTATTGCTTTTACTTGGTGAAGTTGCTCAAGTCTTTGCTCAACCTCCCCTCTTTACCGGAATCACTACAGGCTAAGCCAGATTTAGGATTGCGTCGGCTGAAAATCGAACTCAGACTACATGATGATTAGCAAGCATTCTACTCTTAAACCGCCAATGAACTTTCCTTATTTATTACATTTAATTTCATTCATTTAACTTTCCTGTAGTTCATCTTCTTCGTGTACATTACCTCAACACATACTAACCACATTTTCCCAATATTATTTGTTCACTAGTGACTGACAGCACTATCCTGTGGGTTTGGTCAGTGATACTGTTTCCCCTCTCTCGATATCGTCGTGATTACTCCACCACACGGATAATTGGATTTAAATAAGATAAAAGACATTTCCTGAAATTTCAATGGTGGCACTATAACCAAACATTTAAGTATTCAATTAAGTTTATTGATAGGTTTATAGGTTATCATTGCATTCTGAGTGCAATATAGGGCATTAGCAGCACATCTCTACTACATTCTAATCACTGCAGTCACTTTTAGATGGCTCAATGACTGTCCAAATCCTTTCATTTCCTCCTGACATGATCCCCTCCAAGTTATAATCGGACACTCAGCTCGTTCTTTTCCATTCACTTTCCACTCAACAGCTTGCTTAGCGTGTGATTTCACTTTGAGGTTTTGTCAGCAAATGTCCAGTCCATTTCCTTCAGCGTAACTGTGGAGTAATTGGTTATTGGTTGGTATTTACTGCATACAAGTACTTATATGTATGTATATAATATTTTGTGAAACTTACTTTTTTCGGTACTTCTGGTTGTTTAATTTCTACATCTAATGGAGTAAAATCTGTCAGTCCAAAATTATTATGATACCAGGCTTTTGTAAAGTTATCACAGTCATAGATTAAATATTTTCTTCCAAGTATATTCACTGACTGGCCAATACGAAAATCTCTCGGTGAAAAATATTCTTTAACTTCATTTTCTAGAAGACGAGAAATTAATAATAAGTTTCATAATGATGGTTTGTTTTAACGCGAAGATTTAATTTATGCATGAATTCAAACCAAAATAAAAGTTTGAGGGTTTTACTATTCATACCAGTTAGGTTGACAAAATGACATCACAGAAGGAAAACTCCTTCATGACCCACTTATAGAGTAGACGATATATCCACCTGCCTATCAAAAGTAGATTGTACAGTACCGTGGTGATCTCTGTCACACTTGATGACTATGAAATATGTATCTTAATGGTCAGAAGCTTGTAAAAGCTTCAGTTAGCTGGCTGTTATCACCGTTATATTATTACTAGTGTTTGGTCGAGCCATCAGTCGAAGAATACAGATATTTACCAATTACAGACCTGGGTAAAATAAATGTGTCATTCGTAAGTATCACAAGTCGACGTTGCCTGAGGTGTGACACATATCTGCTTACTACCTGAGGGAAAGTGTTGTGTTAGTGGAAGCAGATGTTTGTCAGTCTTAACGTATTTCAGACAAAATCGCTCAGCAAGTGTAGCTATAATCAGTGGAACACAGTACATTTCCAAACAACCTCAGCTGAGGTTTGTTCACAATCTCCTCGGTTAACTTCCTCTCCATCTGTTTTGTTTTCTCTCCAAAGGTAGCCGTAATCAAGAGTGATACTATAGAAACATCCATGGTGGAGGATATTTAGCCTCCCAATGTTTATCAAGTTCAGTAAACATGTCTTCCAACTCCCATTCAACCTCTATTCTAGCTTAAATACACTATGTGACAAATACTGAATACTATGGTTAGCGAATCAATATTTTAAATATCAAATAAAGATACTGCTTACATCACTACTTGCTTACCTGTTATCTCCATACTTATACTTGGAAAGTATGGAGGTATATCATCTCGACTCTTTGGAATTCTTTCGCGTCTTAACAATAATGGGAAGGGATCACGACCATCATTCAGTGTATGAACTTCACGTATCTCCAATGTATCATCAGCTAAATAATACTGATGAATGTTGTTTTTTGAATATATTTCATTTATTAAAATTTTGAAAAGAGCAGAGAAAAATAACAGTTATTGTATTTGAAATGAAAGAGAAATACTGAACATGTTTGCCACTGTTTTCTAGTGTGACAAGTTAACGTACGCAAGTAGATCTTGGAATACAGTAATCAGTCTAGTTGCCTATGAAAAAACATTCTCCTAGCTCTACACACATGAAGTCACCTGAAGTTCTAATGAGAAGTAGTGACCAACGGAACCAATCAAGTCAGGTAAGAGAACAGTTTCCAAACTATGACAATGACCGGCAGTTGCGCAGATTGGTAGTAGCTGGAATTCACCGGATAATGGATAGGTCCTAGTTGCCAAATAATCTACCAGTTCGCCTTCCAACCGGGAGGTTGTGGTGAGTACTGCTGAGGAATTCGTAACTATGATGGAACTGCTATCCAGTGCTGCTGGTTTTAAAATGGTTCTTTAACTGTTGTCAGCTCTTAATCAAATCTGTAACCAATCAGATCCTAGCAAACCAACACTTGATAATTTTTAAATATTATTAGAAACTATTTTTGACAGATGTACCTTAAAATTAAATGTGTAGAGAAAGTGGAAATCTGTCGGTGTTTCTACAGTTTGTATATTATTTTTTCAATGCATAATTCCACAGTAATTTGCGTATTGGATATATCACACCTTGAACAGCATTACTAATTGAATGATGTTTTCGAAAACATTTTATTGTTTATAATCACATCAAGTGTAACTGCATAACCCCGAAACTGGATCATTTCAGTTCTCTTTCTTCCATCCTAAATGTCTTAGAGGTGAGAGGATTATCCAGATGTCTGGAACAGGTGTTCAACCATTCCTGTTAGACGTATTCTCAGATTATTCGATGAATAAAGCTTCGGTTACCAATTCATACCTTCACTCTTTTATATCAGGTTTTAAGACTGTCATCTTTTCCAGTCTTATTTTACTGTTGCATGTAACCGTGCATAATGTTATAGCTAAGCTATTTTACAAATTTCTTGAATCTTGCTAGGGTCAACTAATCTGAATTTCGCTCCGCTAATCTTACTGATTCCTTACCACTATTTTGGCCTATGTATCTGACATCTGAATCACTGAAGGATATTAGGCAAAATAAATTATTTTGTTTAGTGAATTTCATATAATCCTTCAACCGACATAATTTGTATCCGAGTGAGTTTGTCAGTTTGAATACCGCTTTCATTCCTCCTTTTTCTTGAGAATTCTTCTATGCAGAGCTTACGCCAATCGACTCACTCTAAAAACATACCATAGTATTACAAGTTACAAGTTATTTGTGAGTTCACAGTTGCTTTTATCTTCGAAACACACCATTTTCCATTTAATCCAGAATAAAATAACAGTAACTTTAAGTTATCTCATAAAAACACAAAGAAAATACCTACATGTATAATAAATTTACGACAGTCACCAAACATTTCATGTCGTTCATCTTGTACAGCGAAAAATCGTAGGACTTTACGATCCAGTTCAAGATACTGTCGTCGTTTATCAAATGACGAAGGTGTTTTGCCGACAGCTATTGCCTCACGTTTTGCTCTTTCAGCTAAATATGGATCAATTGGTTCAGGTTCTGGTTGATTGACTATAACACCTTCACTTTCTAAGAAATCCTGTTCAACAGAAATTCAGTGATTACAGGAAATAAATAAAACGCGAAGGGCTAGAAACATGATGTCGATTAAATCCTAGTGATCATTCAGTATGCTAGTTAAAATCCTACAGTAGATTGGCCATGAGCCCAAATAGCTCAGTGGTAGCGTCAATTACTGGATGAAAAGGGTTCGAATCTCAGCCAGGACACAATTTTCTTTGAGACTGCAGATATATCTTGCTGATGGGTGCCGACAAGCATGAAACTTAGTTTCAACACTTCCTATCGACTACCTCTAGTTATCTAACACCAATTTGAATTTTTTCTGTAGCTGCACACGTTGAGCTGAGTCCAGAAGTCGGGGATTGTGAAATATGCAGACAAATTCTTCAAATTCGATGTTCAGGCAAGATCATTTAATACCATGATTTACCATACTTGGAAAGAGAAACTTAGTGGAAGAATAGTGGAATGCCCCCCCCCACAAGACCCGGTAATCATGGGCTCAATCGTGAAGTCCTAGTGCTTACAAGTCTCAGACAGGTATAAAACAACACCCCTAACCTTATCCCAATGTTTCATAAAGACCGCTTGGTATCTACATAATCTTCACAAGGTCCTATCTGTATGTCAAATAAGAAGACACTTGAAGAGACAGTGGCTTGTGGTTACTAGCTTTATTTAACTGCATACGTTTCTGTTTTAAGTCAACTTTTGCACTGATGATAAGTATCTGTTATTTTTGCTCTGTGATGTCAAACAGAAACCTTTCACACGTGAACAATGAGGTGTTGAAAACTTGCCACATATCAGAGGTAAGAATTAGCACTTGGCAGCTTGTAATTAATTTGCGGAACACTTACAGTCCATTTTTCTAAAAACATTACAGAATCTCAAGTGAGCTTCTTCATCAAGCTTGCATGACTTGAGTTATAATAGAGGACCAGGGAGATCTGGAAGATTATCCAAACATCCCTAAGTACTGAACAGCTTAACATATAATTAACCCTTCCTAAGCTCTTCTGAAATGGGAGTTACTGCTCAATAGCCTTAGACAATTAAAACATAACATCTACAAATACCCGTTACAAAGATGTTTTTGACCACATTACAAAACTACAACAAACCTTCGTAAACTTATCACAGTTTGTTATGCGATAAACTCGACCATATATGGGTAGACTTATACCCAAATTAAGATCGCGCCAATTGTAACAGTCACCGACATCATTCTTTGGGATTCTGTGTCTGCGAACAAGTTTACCTAAAGTGGATAATATGAATTAACTTTAATGAGGTTTTGAAAATTTTATTGATTTCATTATATTTTTCTTTAAGAACTGTAAAATCTCAAAAGTATTCGACCTGTTTATCTATTTAGAGAATTCTAGTTATTGAGAAACGTGGGGCTAACCAACAGGCATTCTTGCATAATATAGCTTCTTTGCAAAAAATCATAAGTACTTTGGACAACTACTCTACGTGTTTGCTTTGGTCTCTGTCGACAGTAAAATTATGAACTACATGGTGATCAGGATCGGGTCACAAAAACTTCTGAAGTAGGCAGAAGTTGATTTTGGGTGAATTTATGATAGTCATAGAATTTCATACACTTATAAGTAAGAATAAAACAAGATATTAAAAGTCATCCCTTTGCTTTACATTTACTGAGGATTTAAGCTTTAAAAATATTGCCCGTTAGCTGAATAACCCTTAAATCCTTCAATCCACCGCGTGCAAAACTTCTTTAGACATTCACGAATCCATTATTATCCAGATAATAGGTCTTATTCACTGACAGTAAGACAAGCAACTAGATTTTTTTTTACCAGGAAACCACTTTCGAATCATAACATGAAAATAACGAAGGATGCTGAAAGAGACGTATAGATACTTTCTAAATACTGTGAAAGAGATAAATATTTTAAATAATGGTGAAACTGACTGAGTTCCTGTGAACAAATGGCCATAAAAAACTGTACCTTGCAGTAGGGTGATAATTTATAAAAACGAAAATGTGTGGTAGCAAACATTATAAACTAGAAACGGGACCTAATTGTGGTGGCCAGTAAATACCTTTCAAAGCATAGGTGTATTGCATCATCTTATTTTTTTATGACGATTGCAATGAGATTTCATTTTGCTGATATGAAGGGAAAAGTTATATTATATGTATTTCAATTTTGATGATTTCATTAGAATGGCTCATAGAGGAAAAAGGAGGGGGACATCTCCCCATATTCTACATTTTGCTTCCCAAATTTATATACACTAAGATGAGCGTGCTGATACGGAGGCACATATTTGCTTATTTGCACAGAACGAATTGTTTCCTTTGCCTGTTATGTGCAGCCATTAAGCATGTAAACGAGATTGGGAGATACTAAATAAAATTAGGACACTAATGCATGCACTTCTGGACATTAAGATTTTGTTTGGTTTTAGTTACATAGGCGATCGTCTCATTAGTGATGGCTGGAGATGAGTGATATTTATCAATCTACCACAAACATCAGTAATTCATGCGTCCAGCTTTTATTCATCTATTGCAATTTAGTTTGACTTATAAAGTCAGTATAATCAATCAAAAAAATTAACAATATTCTATTTATTTGCATCAAGACATGTATTATTAAATATTCCATTTTACATTTTATATCCTCATGAATTTTATCAGAGGCATACATACATTCTAGCTTCATAACAAACCTGTCAAATAATGTACTCACTTGCGGAAAGATTCTAACTAAACTCACTGTAATTGGTTTTAAAAGAGATATCTTCCTGTCACTCGACACAAGGCTTTAGTTTGGTGCATTTCAAATTATCTTATCGTAAATTGCTTAAAAATGATTTCTCGTGGTACGTTATAGCAACAGAAGAGATCTCATGAGGTGTGTTTTCAGTTCAACTTTAGCACTGAAGCAGTTTTGGGGGAGATTACTAGGAATGGAATTATTACTACTATGGATTACGTGATATTCTTAAAAATGTTAATCCAGCAGCTTTGACTGATATGTCATCAAACCTAAAATCCATAACCATAGTATGTCTCATATTTATTTAATTCGCTGACCACTGACTGAAAAATATCCTTTTAATTTTAAGTAAATATTAGAAAAGTGATTAATGATATCTAAAAACATTTTTAAGCTTTGATAAGATAAATCTAGTTGTGCAATCACCTTGTGGTATGCCGCTATTATTTTGAGGTGGCTCCATTACTGACATACTGTCATCCTCCAGAAAATAGAATATCTGTACTAGTCTGACCCTGTAGTGCTCAGCTGGAGATTCATTAACCGTCTCTTTGAAGTATCCATAAAATCGAAGAACTTTATTGTGTAGTGCTACATGAGCCGGTACGAACGCAGACGGAGGTGCTTGTTTCGCCCTTCCATACGTTAAGGTAGGTTGGAAATTCGCCAATTCATCCAATTCTTCCTCGGTAAGCTGGTTGACTTTCAAAGGACGACCACCAATACCAACTTCTGGATAAGGTTTGGCATACTGAAAACCGTTTTTCAAACTGAGAGTGTGTGACAAATGGAAATTATTTTGCTAAATATTCGTTAGCTTTATGAAGAAAAAATTACTGTGGGGTCCCTGAACGTATTGCCAGGTAAAAATGGCAAACCTTCTAAAAGTTTATTTGGTTCACACATAAGTCGATTTTGAAAAACTGCTCAACCGGTTGTCATGTAAACGAGATTTATGGCCTTACATTACTGTATGCTTGATGATTATTAAAGTTACCAAGTGTGTATTTGTCAGGGTTAAAATTTTATTTAGAGACTTCAAATATCATAATTTTTAAATTAGGAATTCTTTTGATCTCATTCTGGAGATGTGCCCACGTCAAATATGATGTATCAGTCACATAAATATCCCGTTATGTATTTCAGCTACTTAATAATAATGAAAATTTATTGTATTTGATTTTGAAACTTCGTAGATCAAGTTTTAAAACTGAATTGCATCAACTGCTCACTAAAAATGTTGTCATGCAACGCGACCGAAAGTTACGAACACTAATACACGTATCCACAGTGTAATATCAAACAGAATAATCATTTTGTTCACCTTATTCCTAATTTTTCGAAATATACCCTCAAACAAACTTCCCTAATTTTTGTGGAGTACATAACCCTTCCGAAAACCGCTGGTGGGTCGCAAACCGTCTCTCATCAGTAGTTCCGTTGTTTAATAGGGATGACCATACCCCGCACTTCTAGTTACAAACTATTAGTGAATCATGTGCAGACTGTAGCAATATTTATGAACACCTGTATATACTTCATTCGGAGGCATAAGGCAGCAAGGCATACGTAAATGTCAAGTCCAAATTCAAAAGCATTATAGCTCAAATTATTCACTTAGGCCTTATCACGTGTAATCTAAGGTCCTTGGACCTAGGTTTTGCTCGGCATGTGTCAAAAAATGTATAAGGTGATATCGCACAAGCGCTGCTTGAATTTATATACTAACTCCAACTGAAAGTATTCACTTTCTTAGAGATTTCATAATCCTTGTTATGCGCACCAAAACAGTTCGTTTTCGCCTCACTTATACAGCTTGAGGTATTTGATTTCTCTCCATAATCTACATGATCACAAAGAAATTCGTGTTTCGGATGCCCCATACTTTCACCACAGCATATATTTAATAGCTCTTGTCGTCATAGTAGTCACGCCTCCCTGCAGTGGTTCATTATTATGATTCATGATTAAAGCTGGAAGAGTTAAGGAAGGTCAATTACGTAACTTTGGGGAAATCGTTCGAAGAACCATGTAGATATTATCTATTTCCATTAACAGAAAACTTCTGCAACCGCAACATCCTCTTATGTATTTTACTTTCAGTCACCCTTACTCCTTGTCATACCCTGTCTATATTTAAGCCTCCAGCAGACTTGGACCAAGCTGCAGTCAACAATGTTACATACCAGTATCCGACCGCATCCTGTATGATATAACACAGCTACATTCCCACTTTCACCAATTGGTCAAAAACTGCTTACACCTAAGTGCCCGTAACGTTGTATCAAAGAGGCATAGGTGCAAACCTCAGAAATTGTATTATTAGCAGAATTGGCCTTCTAAATTACGCAAACAAAAACCAGTGGTGCTTGACCGCGCACTGTATACCAAAAACAGCCGAAAACCAATATTCAGGTAAATGCTTGCTAAGCATACACAGTGTAAGTTTCTATGAAAGTCCAGTGCAGGTACGTGAAAATTTTTCAGAAGCGTCTGGTTAGAGTTAATAGAGGGGCAAAACAGGATCACGAACTGGCAGAAGATAGGACTGATGGACCACTGGATTCTGCCTGATTGCTTCATTGGTGTAGCAGCTCGCTTTGTAATTTGAAGGTCCCTGGTTAGATTGCCGGTGTTGTCATAGGTGAGTGAAGCTGAAAAGCCCCAAATGAGTTCGAAACATCTTTCCAGCCATCCCTTGTTTTCATGGTCCTTTTAACTGGAGTCAGCTCATGTAGAATGACAGGTAGTGTCGCCAAAGTCTATGTCCATCAGGATAAGTGGCGACGCAACAATCATCGGCTACATCTGCAACTAAAGGCAACCGGGAACTGTTTCGGAATCGTCCAGGCAGCATGTCTAACAAGCTAACCAGAAGTGATCACTCTACAATTATCTACCTGCGTTTTTGTACTTCGCGAAAATCAGCGCTAACCGAGTGCTACTTTAAGGTCTTCGGCATAGGACTGCCGAAAGAAGTCTTTAAGCTAGATTGGTCTTTATTTTCCTAACATTTAACTCAATATTACATTGAGGACTCACATGGTACGTTCACCGGCAACAAACGAAACCTCATTTTCGAAACCGTGTACAGTATGTCAGGAAGTGTCATTACTTAAGTAATAAGTAATGGCATGCATTTTCATGTAAATTCGTAAATTTATATGAAATACATTATTATTACTTATTACTTAAGTAATGACACTTTTATTCGGGTGCGATTGGTAGGCAATAGGTTATTGAAAAGGGTCATATGTCTTACCTGTGGATAGAAACTTGAATTAAATTTGAATCGTCTTACTACCGGAAGAGAAGTGAAATTCGTCTGGAATACTGTGTTCAATATACTTCTAAGTGCAACGGATTTCATACGAATTATTAAGTTTTAACGTATGTGGCGTGTCTTCTTTCGCACCCAATCAACGGGACATCTTAGTGACCAACTGACGCACCAAAACAATTATCCGAATTATCGACCTACAGCGCGTATCGAGCAATGAAACAGTTATTTTTAGACATGAATTTCGTATGCGCGCTATTGGGTAAGCGAAGAGGGAGAATATGGTGAAGCACAACTATTACAACCACTGCAAGAATAACCTTTGAAAAGATGGACTCACGATCTTCGGCAGAAACCCAAAACGAAATGGTTCCAAATAGAATTATATTGATAGCAGACTGTTGAAGAAATGTTAGATTATTTTTCTTCAAATATAGGATTGTTCAGCATCCAAACGCCAAGAGCACAATTGTTGAGCACAAATTCGCTCACAGTTAGCACAAAGGTGCGTTCGAGCATAAAACGTGTAACAGTTCAATGAAATACAAACAGTCTAATTGACACAAAATGCAGAATGGTGCATAAGGTACGACTTTGTCGTTTAAAGGTGCAATACTAATCATAACAATACGGATCGACGTTCTTCACCCAGTAACTTCGTATAGTGAAACGTAACCACACGAATAATGAAGAAGACAGGGTGCATTCTTGGTTATTCGCCTCATTTCCCGGTATTTCTTTCTCACAGGCCGTCTGACGAGTAGCTCCAGCATTTACAGCACATCCTGTGAGAAGTACGCACCTATCAACGTAACTCTACTTAATATGGATTATTATAGAGCTTGGCTGTAACTATAGACAAACTAGTCAATTTTCCCACCTTCAGTGAGTTATCGAAGACTGCTTGCATAAAGTACAGTGGGAACTATCCTAATTAGGAGCGTGGTGCTAATTCCGTACCGATATCAATAGGGGTCTGTAACACTTTAGCATATGACACTAATTAAACGAAAGTAAAATACCAATTCATGTGAAGGAAACCACCAACGAGCATGATAAGGATGAAACCTATACATTAATTAGAATGTTGGTGTCTAGAAAAGGCAGTAAGTCACGCTGCCTAAACCACTTAAAGCTTATTTCCCGCTGGCTTCAACGGGAGATACAGCTCATGATTGTTGTGTTACCTTTTATCCCGCTAAACCTGCGGCACAGTCACACCAACTGCTGACTCTTTGACGTGGCCCGCTTGATTTGTTATCCCGACTGTCCTTAACACATCCTCTAGTAGTGAAGGGGGGGATTTAGCACTCACGGTATTTCAGGGGTGTACTTACAATAAAATGAATATTGGGATACATTACCACGCCACTGAGCGGCGACCGCATCCTTTTTGTTTAAAAGTTCAGTTATTATGCAATATGATTCAGTTGGCACAGATTAACAAATTGATCGTTGAGGGTAAAATGGCTGAGATTCAACCTGATTGATGAACTTTTGCGGTCGTCTACAAGTACATAAATACGATGTTGTGTATTTCGCCAATCTGTTTTCCAGAAGGACGTCAGATTTAGACGCGGTATAGACATTTAGTACTCATTGTGAAATGAGCTCAGATAAACAAGGACCGGTGACACGTGATGTTCAAATAAAGCATTTCAACGTGAAACAGATGTATGTTAGTCTGATACAGCTACTACGTCTGAAATTCATACTATGCTTGGTGCAATGTGCATGCAAAGTATCGCTAGAAGGGGTTTATTTTTCAGGTATTGACATTATAAGGACCGAAATTCGTGCCAAAATATAGGGCCATCTCAATGAATATTGCTGTTCTGAAGGTTATAACGATTCACTTTCCTGATCACTACGAAATATAGTTATTAGAATGCGCCACCCTGTCACTTTTTCTAATGCAGACCTTTATGTCAGTTTTTGACGTTGCAGCAGTGCACTGTTCAGATCTTACATCATTCATAGAGCGAAAATGTTTCGTACAATATTAATCATCACGCAAGGGTATTGCGAGAGGTTACTGGAAACGTCACCTTGTGGAGTAATTCATGCACCAGAATTTTTAAGTGCGCCGAAATAAATAGCAAGTGAGCATGGCATGAAAATCGGAAACCAAATATCTTGAGTGGAAAGGATTTTGTGAAGATGAAAGCTCAACATCTAAGATTATTAAAATTTGTGGTACATTCGGCAATTAGAAGTAGCTTGCAGGAAAGTTAGTGTTGGAGAAAAGGAGAAATGTATTCACATAGCACAACTTATTGTAAGTTGCTGTGTATATCCAGTCATTTCTTGTCACGTATATCATTATCCAACAATGTAGGTGCAATTCTACCACTGAATTCAACCAGGTTCGGGTACTGTTTCGTTTCGCCTAAGACGCTTTCTAAATAGACCTATGAGATAAGTATGGCAGGGAAGGTTTGTGGGGCAAGCATAACCACAGAGAACCTTTCCTCCACCTTTGGGTAGCAGTTCTGGTCACCGCAAAACATGTCTCGATTGGAGCTAAGCATGAAAAATTTTTACTGCTCACAGCAGAAGATGAATACGAACAGAACCAGCTAACAGAGATGGGATACCACAACCATCACACAGAGTTTTACCGGCCTCTGATTGTTAATTTGTGCATTTTCGGCAAACTCAAGCAGGCGGCTTAATCAAATTACTGGGCTATCTAGTTTCCATCCATCAAAACATGCCTTATTTAACCTTCTTGTCATTTTATTTCTCCAATTACGCCATTGGATCACAATCTGTGTAACGACAGAACGCAAGAGTCAGGCAACAGATCGTTTATTAAGCAAAATCAACACATATTTATAGATTTTAATGTACATTGTTGTAGATTATTGTTAGTAGAAAATACAGTCTTTTGATTGGTTGTTTTTCACAGAAAGTTAACCTTGCACCTCATTGTGGCTGTGTCAGATCATCCATATGCTAACTGGACCCGCCTACGCAAAGCCTTTGTTCTCATTTTCTCACCACCAATATTGGGGACATAAACATTGACGTCAAATACTGTCTACCAACTTTGGCTAGCAGCCAGCTCTCACCACATCTGTACATACGCACATTTTCTAATAGTTTTTGAATTATCACTACGGGCTTTTAGAAGGAAATGGTGAAAGAAACACAGTAGGTTATTGGAATATGCTTTAGATGGGGCGATATTGCCTGCAAATGATAAATTATCGAAGATTCCACACAAGAAGTGAATACTTTGTGATGGTAAATGGGTAGGATTATGCAATGTGTATCAACTCAGTCTCCCATAAAAATTATTATTATTATTGAGGGTTTGTTTGGGGTAAGTGATAGCGCGTGTGCAGTCTGAATGACAAGAAACGCATCGATGTTGTCATCATAGATCTCAGTGAAAATTGAAAATAAGTGACCCACACGATTTTGTTTATGAAATCGGAGACTTTTTGAATCCAGAGTTGCCTCCATAAGTGGATCAAGGAATCGCATGCAGGAAGTATATAGACAGTCAGGATAGACTCGAAACAGTCTATCCGGACAAAGGTAAGTAGTTGCGCACCACATGAAGCTGTACTCGGCCCCTTCCTATTATCTCTTGGATATTGGCGAGTTATATGGTATCACTGAACCTCAAGTGGTTCTCCACACTGCTGACCTGACAATCTGGAGAGATTTAAAGGTCGACCGATATCTTCTAACATGGCTAACAGTTATCAACGTTCCTGTAGACTTTTCCCAATGAATGATTGCCTCTCGTCAACCTAAAAACGTGTTTCACCATGTTCATGGGGGACTCAAGTGACAAAACACACAAGAATACATACATACAAGAATACCACTGCCGTCATTTTATAATGATACAGATGTAGGCGTGATCGTTAGACATGACCCAAATACAACAACATCCTGTCGCTCAGTCGCACGTTCACATCCTTATGAACAATAGGCAGGACTTTTAAATGAATCAAAAGCGAAATATTCATCACTTCCTATGAATATTTGGCGGGATCGGAACTAGCGGTCTGCTGATTTCCACTCAAAGGGAAGTCATACATACTTGAAAGTAATTTAAAGAAGGGACATGTCTGATTCTTGCTGTGACCAATGTATCATAATACTAAAGACCTGACTCAATATAACTTTCCATATCGTCATATCGTAGCCCCAGATTAAATCTAATCACAGTGTCTAATAAACGAATGTGAACCTGACCGGCCTAACCTTTTCCTCTCCTCAAGGTCGGAAGACGTGAGAAGTAATGGTAGAACTGTATCGGTGTGGATCACAAATTATCCTGATGAATAATTAACTATTGGAAGTGACTATCAGAAGAAGTGGTGCCTGCTCACTCAATCGACTTGTTCAAGGAGGAATTCATAAGTCATGGATACCCATCAGAAAAGGATTAACATAAACGTGAGGCCTTCTATCCTCAACCGAAAATCTGCACTTATTTATGAAATTCATTTATCAAGTCACTGAATCACGTGACTAAGTATTAACAAGTCTATCGGAACTTATCTCTAGACTGCTTGATAACGAGAATGTACTTCAGTGCCTGCCAATGAAACTCATTTTTATATTAGGCGGCTTTTGAAGGTCGTTTGCGAGGTTAGTAACACCAGCGGGTTTTCAAAGCTCTTAAATGAAGCATTTATAAACAGTAGTAGAAAGTAACATACCACATACATTTTATCAATTTGCCTGGCTATTTTTTCACTATCAAATGTCATTTGATTTCTATTTATCGGTGAGTGTAGTTTATCAAGTCGATAAACCAAACTTACGATAATGCTGAATTATAATTCAGATTTGTAAATCTCGCTTCTTGTCTATAGGGAGGGAATTCTGAAGTTATCATGCAATGATTTGAGACTGCGAAAGAAACAGCAGTGTGTTCGTTTTCTCAACACTATCCAGAGTAGTTCAGCGCCTACTGCAGTAGTTTTATAATAAATAATACCATGCATGGCTTCGGACGCATAGCAGAACTTTTGGGGCAGACTTTGGATCACTTGCCCACGTTCTGCAGTGCTTTCGAAGAAATTATTGTCTGGGTGGTATTATTTTCACCGTCGGTACAGAGCTTTCAGCCTCGATTCCGCTCCTGTCATATTTGTTAAGCATCCAGCAAAGTTTGTAGCCACTATCGGAATTACTCCAGCATAAATTATACTTTCTTAACACAATATATCCTCTTAGCACTAAACCACATTATCGACGCACAGACCAGAATATTCTGAACTAAACGAATGTTAGTTTAGCATTATTATAAGCTTGGGAAGGGAGTGTTACACTTTTGAAACAAATGAAAAGATTCTTTGAACGATTTGGCTGGCAGTATATCTAGGCCACCTTCTCCATTTTGTACTCTTGGTTATTGTAACATGATCAATTATTTTGACCTTCCTGTGGTTACACTCCACCTAAGCTTATAAATACGTTCACTTAACAGTATATTTCATTCTTAAAGGCTAGCTCACTTTGGCTGTAAATAAATCTCGGATGCTCTTTTATTATTGTAATATGTTTTATGTTCATTTTTCAAACAAATACGTCTTAGGGTAAAAATTTCAGCACCTCATCGGTACATACACAGGTAAATCATGGATTGTTTAGTAGATTAAAACACTGTTGATCTGTCACGACAATCTAGTTATAAACTCATTAATTGCATTGTTGTACTACATCTTTTGGATTTACGATTCGTATAATAGTTGGACGACATTTTCACAAGAGTGTTTTGATATGGTTTTCGGTGTGCTTTTCCTGCATACGAACACTAGTATTCCCGTCTTTTAGCACGATTATCTTTACTGTGTTTACACTGTGTCTGGGTCTGTTTATTCCATCTTATACCAGTTTGATCCTCAAAAACCTGTAAACCTACAGAGGACAGATAGAGTAGTAAACAGTCCCGTTATTATAGTTTTCATAGTAACTCCAGTGGTTTCGTGAAGTCTTTGCTCTGCAATGGTTTTTGAAATCTTAATGGTCAGAGAAGAAGCTATAGATGAAGTAAATGAATATTTTAGTGGGTCACTTACAAATTTATAGACTCATTTTATGATACATCTAAGGGGGATGTTTTTAAATGCAGACTGTACTTTAACGAATTCGCTGAATGAGTAAAATGCAGGTACATTGATCAAATGAAGATTGTGCAGAAGATGATAACAAGTGCAACCCATTTGGCCTTGGGAACAACTTTAAGTTACCAACTGGGAATCAGAGGACATTATACCTAACTTACATTTCAAAGCTCTAGAACCCTTTAAACACAACATGAGCCATTTACATAGCTGATTACATTGGATGAAGATTACTCCTTCAGCCTTGTTCTTCACATTTGGTGAACTGGAAAATTTGATAGAATACCTGTGGCTCTGGTGTACGTTTTATTCTCATTAACCTAGTACATCTCAAAGAAGGATGAAAATTAATGATTAACTGCACAGCCATGCTTTGAGTGAGCAGTTGAGCTAGGAAGATATACTCTGAAAGGTTACAGGTGGTAGCAGATTTTAATCTTGGGACCTTGATAGTAAACTTAAGGCTGGTTTGGATACCCTTCTTTGTTTTATTTTTGCAAGAGCAGTAATTCTGTGGTTGTAAGTATTTACTATTCGACAAGTCGTCCCCCAGTTTTTATTATTTGTTACAAATGGAATAACAATACCTAGTAGTAGGAGCTGATAAATACCCCATTTAGAATAGACAGTTCGACATCTACATCTCGGGGTGGCCGAGCGGTGTAAGGCGCCAGACTCAAGAGTAATATGAAAATTTGGCAAACATCAATTTTTCTGATTTCATTTAACTGACCTTACAATGTAAAACTTTACCGAAAAGTTGCCATACTTCAGATAACCCACAGAGAAACACATAAGCGGGATGCAATGAAACTACAATTGACAAGAAAACAAATAAATTTGATTTGTGAAAGTTTTGCGTATCTGTAGAATAGCAAGGATTAAGTGGATTTGCGCTACAATAAGTACTTTTAATGATTTTATCATCGTCTCTAGTCATAGATTTCTGACTTTACTTAGTGGTCACTTAAATAAGATCTGTTAAGCGAGATTTAGGTGGATCAAAATACGTTCTACAGGTCACACTATTTCAAAATAATGTCTGTTCAAATATAAAGTTTGTTGGCAGACCGTTATTTTGAGTGGTTTTTATGCAAGCAGTATTTCCTATGTATATGTTATCTCAGTAATTGTTAACTATAAAGATTTATTTCAGTGTCTTCGTACATCAGCTTCATGTATTAAATTTAACCTTGTTTTGCTTTTCTTCAGAATTCACAAACTGACCAGTGTCCATCAGTGCCAGTTTTAGTTCCAAAGCAATAAAATGTTGATATGAACAAGTGTATTTACAAAATGGATTGGAAACTTCATTGTAGAAATATAAAACAATTAGATCTTGAAGAAGTTAGGAAAACAGCGGAAGTATTCAAGAAAAAATCTGAAGATATTGAAGCAAAAATTTTCCAATTATCAAATGCTCGTCAATCAATGAAAAATAATAATATTTTACGCGTACATATAAACACTTGGAGAAAAGAAATGTCCTATTTAAAAAAGGAAGAAAAAGAGATTGAAAATCTACTAAAAGATACATGTTTTCAGTGGATTTTCAAAGAGAAAGCTATACTGGACACAGAATCTGTAAATTCAGCAAATGTAGAGAAGCTACAAAGTATAATTTCAACGCCTTTATATTCTCTAAGGTTAGTCAAGTGTTTTCGAAACATTATCTGTATATTCTAAAAGGAAAGAAATCAAAGAATGGAATGAAACTGACATGAAAGATGAACGTTTATTGAAACAAAATTCTGTCAAAGAGGCTATCCAAAATCTATCTGACTGTATCCAAAATTTGAATAATAGTTTGAAAGAGGAAAGTGAACTGCTTTCAGAAAGTCAAGAAGATGGAAAAGGTAGGGAACTGTGCACAGTATTGTATTCTCCTGCAGACGATTTGATTATAACGGAATACAAGAAGAAACCGTTTATATGTAATATCAAAGATATGGGAATACCTGAGCACGCGTGGGATTGGCAGTGTTCAAACAGTGAGTACTTGTCAACAATGTTATCTGAGTTCATTATGTTGGATTTTGAGTTCTACAATCAGCTTGAAGTAATTAAAAAAGAATATGAGTCACTTCGATTGGCTGAGTGAGTTATATGATGTTTTATATATGTATATATATTGACAAAATCTTGCTTATTTGAACTATAGGAAATTATCAGTTTTTTGAAATTTAAACAGCTAAAGCGTAATAGCCAAATATAGTGAGGATTTAAGTTTAGAAAGTAATCAGTATCAAAATTCAGTAATTTCACTTCCATTTTCATAGACGTTTAGTCGTTAAATTGTTGTTTTGTAACGGCAGGAGACCAGGGACTTAATAAAGTAGTGCTTATTTGAATTTCGGTATCCCCATATAGCGAAATTATGTATACCTTATCTTGAAATCGTCATTTGCACAGATCTTTCGTGTTGTGCTACTTCTGGCCTTCACATTTTGTGTGTTTCTATGTGTTCCTTCCACATCTTCTATGTATCTTCGCAACGTTGAATCACTTACTTTCTCTGACGTCAAATCTATCTCCCTGCTATTTGATGTTTTTATGCCAAAGAACGTTTCTTTATGTATGCTACTGATAAATCTTATCAGTAGCACACACCACGGTTTCTTTGTAGTGAAGAATAACTGCTAAACAGAAAATGTTAAAATAATAATAATACTTACTTAGATTATACATTTTTGTAAGGATTTACATTAATTTCACTGTAGGTGTTGTCACGAACCAACATCAGTTATAAAATGAGTGAAAACCAAGGGGAACTGGTTAGCTGTTTCGTCCTAGTTCAGGACCTTGCAGCGGTGTTCATCTGCGAAATCACCAGGGATAGAGCTCGGGATCTTCAGAATACATGGAGATAAAGTCACCATCCATCCACCAGATTGGAACTCAGTTGCTCATGAATTCTAATCTCTGTTAACTCGTGAATAACAGCAATCGTCATCCCGTGTTAACGGCGAGCATCTCTATCCACTTCTGACTTCGGATGCCTGTGGGTCACAAATTTGCACCAGAAACCCGGGGATTCCTACTAATAGTCACTTATCAGTGGATTTATTTTCAAGTGTTCTAATGCGGAGATGTGACTAGTTGGGTACTTTAGGCCAGATACAGATAGAAATACTCGCCCGTGACATTGGATTGATATGCTGGAATACCGTTAAATGACTGAATTGTCAGCGAATTTGTCCTCATAACCTGAAAAACATGGGGTTTGGTCCCTGGTATGGTCGTAGGTGCACACTGCTAAAGACTATCAAAATAGAAAAAAATAGCTGTTTAGTACCCTCTGGTTTCTAATAATTCTATAATAGGAAAACCTGGGAGTACTGGACAGCTGTTTCGTCACACTAGTTCGGGAATCCTCGGCAGTAAGCACCCACCACCGGGGTTCGAACCTTGGACTTTCTGGTTACAACGCGAGCTCGTAGACAACTCAGTCACTGGGACCCGATACAATGGCCAGTCCATGAATTCCAACTTCTGCCAATTCACGACATGGTGACAGTACTCTTAAGTTTTCCAATGGTTCTCTAACTAATGTCAGCTTATGATGAAATCCTCCTCCAACCAGTCAAACAAAATCCCTACAAAACCAATACTTGAAGATTCTATTATTAGTGTTAGTTCATGACAAGATCAACGTTTAAATAATCATTTATGCTGTACTAGTACGAAGTAATGATTGATATGTATAGTTGAAAACGACTCATGTCAATCACTAGAGCTCGCCAACTAGATCTGAACTCGAGATTGGTTGTTCGTTTACTTGCAGTCTAGCTCACAGAGTCAAAGACACTGCAGTATAAATATTCTGGGTTTCAAAAGAGAATCCCTAATTGTATTCTCTGAGAATAACTTATTACATTTCATGATATACTTCAGTCATATTTATAAAAATTCACTAACTGAAGTAAATTGGTTTTGTTTCTTAAAGCGTTTCTGGGTCAATTTGTTTCTTCAGACTCAGATAAACTTTCTTGATTTGTAATTATGATCCATAACAGTATGTGGTTGAAAACCCGAAAATAAAGGAAATCAGAAAGGTTTACAGTATTATTATTAATATCAGCTTAGGTGAAATGTACACTCATCGTTCAGAGAAATGATAGTTTTTAACAGAGTATAGAACAGTACGTACCTTTGTCTCACTTTGCAGTTATTGAATAATATATGGAGCCGGTCGGTCGGTCGGTCGGTATTCGACATAGAACTTTGCACATATGTGCGGCAGTTCAAGTCGCCACAATCTATGTAGCACGCAAAGCAAGAGAAGGAAGTAGAAGAAATACATAATATAGACAATAAACAGAGTTGTGAGACAAAGGGATAGTAATAACGGAGAACAAAACAGTTTAATTGGAAATCATAAGTCACAAGGAGTGGGTGCATCTGCGCCACTGAGAACGATTTTGAGCCATGTCACCAATTGTTTCCAACCATTGGTTTTACCATCCTGAGGGCCCCAACCAGAAAGTCTACATCTTCCTACGTGGCTTAGACTAACCGTTGTGGATTTCATTGATTGGTGCCATGTTTTCGTTTGACCGCCGCTAGCTCTTTTCCAGCCTGACCCTATATCAGCTAACATTGCCCGTCGAGGAAGGCGATGGCTAGGCTAGCATACGTAGCACATGTCCTAACCAAATGTTGGCAGTAGATAAATACTAGTGAAAAGCTCAGCATCATTCATCAGAACCATTTTTTCGTTACGTTTTGTTCAAAATTATCAAGGAAGTCAAATGTAAGATAAGTGAAATGCAATTTCCTACTGGTTATTGGGTTTTTCAATCCTTCGAGCTATTGATATACAGGACTGTAGTAATCAGTTTCTCTCGACACATGACAGTCATGTAATGAAATTCTAACGATATGTATGTTTCGTAGTGGTAAAATACGAAAATTTGAGATGCTCAGCTCGTTTTATTTTGGTGTCACCGGTTAGGTAGACTTGTATCTTCCTGTGCGTCCGTATGAATATCTCATTGGTCACTAGAATGCAGGCACATCTTAGATAAAATATGCAGCTGTGATTTCAATGCTAGTTACTGTAAAGCATATATAACCTATAATTCATTGTCTTGCAAACACCTTTCAGTGGTAAGCATTGGCGAACACGAGAACCAGTTCTCGCATAACCTGATGCTTATTATCTTTAAGCACAAACATGGATAAATGCACACAGCACAAGTTTGTTTGACTGACTTCTTCAATATAAGGATCAACATTGTGTCATTAGAATTTACTTCCATACCGAAGATCTGTCCATTTTCCGTTCATTACATAATCTTCTTATTCAATTAACTGACCTTCTCCTTTACCCAATTGCAAGTATTTCATTGTTAGTGTTTTCATTGATTGCGTTCCGGGTAAAACTTAGATCTACCAAGCTTTGAACTTTGAAGTTTCAGTTACACTGGTGTTAATTTTACCGATATGGGAGCTAACCTTACGCCCAATCTCCTTTCATCTTCCAGCTTACTACTGGTTAGACAAAGTCTATGAGTACGCCAGCTGAGATTCGAAGCTGGACCTCATTCTTATATCTAGACATTAATAGGTACTAAAGGCTTTCTTTTGTGAACATTGAAAGTCGCATGAAAAATTCTCACTTTTGTGTGATATAGATTTAGAAAAAGAGATTTAAATATCTATTTGCTCTGCCAAATAGTTCTACAAGAATATAAGATAAGTCTCAAGGTACTCTACTGTTTCGTACATGGTATTGCATCGACTTGACTGTGGAAGAAGTTACTACCTATTTTTGTTCTCTTTGACAATCTACTAATAAGTAGTCATTCTCTGTATAAGAAAAGTATCATTCTACTTCCTTTTAGGGAAATATATTTGTTTTAAAACTACAAGAATAAATATATCGAAGTATATATATATTTTGATCTCACATTAATATTCCTTCTCTCTTATTAGTGAACAACTTTGGAACTCAAACGAATTAGAAATGTTTGAATATATTTGGGATATATATAGAAGACATATAATGCATCAGCGACGACATTACACGCTTGATTTTTTATCACGTGTTTTTACTAACCGAAGTAATAAAGAAATAGTAAGTATAAAAATATCTTGTTAAAAAATTGAAAATACAGGCACACTGAACTAATGATTCCCGGGAAGGATGCAACATGCGAACCGCCTTCCACTCTTACCAACTACTAAACATATAAGCATTAATGTTTTATGATTATTTGTTTTGAGTAGTATTTTTTGGACAGATCGGTGAGCTCTTTTGAAGTATTGGTATTCCTTATCAGGGTGAGCATATATACTATTTTGAGAGTCTTGTCACTGAAGAAGTTTAACTTCGGGAGGAAGCTGAGTTTAGGAATTTCTGTCAATTAATTGAGAACTTCAAAAAGGCCTTCAACAGGCAGCGTTGACCGAGAAATAATTTGGAAACTACTTCAACACTATGGCCTGCAGAGTCGAAGTCTTTATCAACTTCATTCAAGAGCTGACTATAAGACAACAGCACGTGCCAGGTGATCCACAACGGAAAACTCAGCGAGGCGTTTGAAGTGCATACCGGAGTAAGACAAGGCTGACTGCCTATTATCACTGGTGATGAAGGTGTCCAAGCTGGCTAGAATCGGAAAGGCGTGATACGCCTTCACCAACCTGAAATCAGTTTGGAAATCTTCTACATTCAGCATAAGAGACAGGATTCGGTTTTTCAACACGAATGTCAAGTCGGTCAATTCTTTTATACGGGTCAGAAACTTGGCCAGCGTATCTTGGAAAGGATTTCCAACAGATTGCAGGCTTTCATCAACAACTGCCTTCGCCGGCTCCATATTGAAGATCAAATTGCCAGCTGACCAGAAAGAATTGGCAACAAGAAACTCTGTAGTGGAAAAAACCAACCAAGAGCCGAGTGGTCAACAAATATGTAGGAGAAAACGGAGACAGACTGATCGGGCATACATTGAGGAAACCATCGAATGACATCACACGCAATGCAGGCCATGGCTCGAGTGGAATATCAATGGGAAATGACGAGTAGGCTGTCGATGTGAAGGTGACATGAAGGAGGTCATGTGAGGAAGAGATGAGAGAGTTTGGGCAATCGTGGACCCAGCTAAGGAGGATGGCAGAAAATAGAAGAAAGTAGAGGTGCTTTGTTGAAATGTTATGTTCCACTAAGAACTCAAGGGAGTAATAATAATAATAATAATTGAGAACTGTAATAATCTAAATGTTTGAAATCATATTTCAGGAAATTTTATACCACATGATCAGATTATAATCGTTCATTATGCGCCATTGAGTGGACTATAAAGTGGTAACATAGTGAAGTGTCGCACTTTTTTAAATCTTCTTATTCCGAACCGAGATTTCATCACTGTTTGAGAAATATTGGACATAAGAATGAATTAAAAGTCAGTCAGAACGAAAAATATTCCCTTGAATAAAGTTTTTTTCAGGAACACCACTGGAAGCACTAACCTAGGACGAAACGGCTGACCAGTGCTCCTTGGATTTCACTCATTTCATAACTGATATTGGTTCGGGACAAAATCTACAATGAAATTAATCTAAAAAACAACATTTTGATGTAGTTGTGTTCTCTGAGCTGGATAGTTAATTTGCGGAGCTTTCATCACCCTACTGGGTGACATCTTCATCACTATCATATCTAAAAACAACATTGTTATGATTAATTTGAAAATGGTTTCTTCAGACAGATTTTCTCATTTTCTACAAGGGTTTTATTCATGTACGTGATACAGAAACAGTTTAAATCGTCTAGTAGTGTTCTCACACAAAAAAATCAATTTAACTGGATAAATTCCATTCAAAGCTATTTTCTTTGATTTCCTTACATACAGCCTATTTCGTTATCGCTGTAACTATCTCCAATAACTCTTAAACTCTTAATTCAGTTGAATGAAATTCTAAAAATTCTCAATTTTAGTTAATCTGTCTAATCATATTCTCTCAATACTAAGTGACTGCAAAAATGCTATAATTTGTATCATATCTATTTCTTTAGATGACTAAATAATTCCAGTTACTGTTCCGCTATTTCTAATGATCACCTTAAATCTTTTTCAATTCTTAAATTAGTTAAATGTACGGTTAACTGCTAACCCTAAAATGTACCCTTTTACTCACTGTGTATAGGTCCACTAATCGAAGTTTCGGGCTGGACAACAGAGTTCTTTGAAACATTAATCAAACTAAGCTTTACTCGGACCCATATTGCATTGAGTGCATAATCAGTGCATTCCGTTGACTGGAGTAAAAGTTTTTAAATCACTGACTCTTCAGTATCTAGTAGTCTCGTATACTGAATTACTGTCCGTAGAAAGAATCAAAGTATGCTGTAGAATTATAGCAAAGAAGGCATACCTTTAGACCCAATAGCTATAAATTTTTTTGGAAATGATATGGGGAAATTTCATATAAGGGTCTGTCAGAAGAAACAACTTGCTGTATATATACTCTGCTATACAAAGGATTTAGGGTATATTTTATGATGCTTATGAGTCACCATATTTACACTTCATATAAGTTAATATAGTTCTTTCTTAGGTCTTTTCCTCTGCTTCACAATCGGGTTGCTTAGAATTGCCAGGCACAGTTAACCGCTCATAACAGAATTACTCGAAATACCTTCGTTTCTATTCCTATTTGGCATTTCCTGTTAATACATCTAAACCAAACTGATACATTCAATGGCTCTGTAGATCATTTTTTTGGTGTTTAAAGTAATAGACACTGAGTTCTGGTCACAGTAAAACAGCAGGACCATCCGGCTGACAAATCCCAAGTGGAATGAAACGTGTATACTATATTCTAAGGCAAGTCACCACCGGACAAGTCACTGTCGTTTCTAGCTTCGCCACATCCTAGCAACCACAACAAGTGGAAAATTTCCATAGTTTACCCTTGAAACTAGAGCAAATTATTAAATAATTTCGATTTTCAGCTGGTGCATGTCAAATAGCTGTTTCCGGTTAATTCTCGTTCCTTTTTAAATCCAGACAGTTACTTGAAATTAATCCCAACTTATATTTTAGAGGGGAGAAAATGTCGTTTTTATTGTTGAGTCATTCTGAAGAACTACTTAGTCATTCACAGTAGAAATTTTTTTCCATGATAAATAAGGACAAAAGAAGAACAATGAGTCAAGCTGCTTAAGTAATCTGGTGGATGCTAGCTAGTAGTGGAATCCAGGATGCGCCTGCATTTCCCGGTGAGTGATGATGCTCCTTCTAAGACTTTAACTCAGTACCTATCGTTTCAAACGCCGAAACGTTATTCATTAGACCATTTGAACCAAAAGAGCCACCTCTTGTGAGACAGGAATAAGTTACTACTTGCTTTTAATTCAATATTGATTTTCCCATTGATTCACTGGACCAAAATGTTCGGCCTCTATTGACGATAGTCCTGACAATCGACAAGAAAATCAAAAAAGAGTTAAAAACCAATTCTAAGTTGAATATCTTGTCTGATTGGTTGGTTTTCAATGGTTCTCTAAATGACGTCAGCTTATGACGAAATCCTCCAACCAATCAAACAAAATCCCTACAAAAAAGCCAATACTTGAAAATTAATCTGATGCTCACTAGTGGCTGGCCCTATTCAGGTAGGTAAATACCTAAGGTTCTGGTGGAAAGCCCTAACCAGTAGGGTGCAGTAGGTTGAAGGTGAGGCAGTAACTTATCGAAGAAGACATTGGCTAGTGGTCGCGCTATGTCGTGAATTTGCAGCAGTTAGAATTCATGGACTGGCCATTGGGTCGGGTCCCAGTGGCTTAATGGTCTACGAGCTCGCTAGCTTTGTAACCAGAAGGTTTGGAACCCCGGCGGTGGGTGCTTACTGATGAGGAGTTCCAAACCAGGCCAAAACAGCTGGCTGCCCAGTACTCCCTGCAGGTTTTCGAATGGTTCTCCAACTGATGTCAATTCATGATGAAATCCCCCAGATAATCAAACAAAGTCCCCAATATTTTGTTGATCTTGCCATGCTCAGATGGAATATCTGCGGAACAGTTTATTCAAAATCTGGCAATTCACTACGCCTCATAAATTCAGCTAGTTTCCAACCTCCTATTTTGTAAATCCTTCGTTTTATGCCACTCTGTGATTTTATTCTTCACATTATTAACTCTATTATTAAACAGATTGAAAATTTAAGTTTTAGAAAAGAAATTTATGGTGAAATTTTCCTCTTTTCATCCTACTCACTTGTACCCTATCCATTTTTTTCCACCTCTATTTTCTCACATAAATCTGCTTCTTCCTCGACAACTTCACTACAACGAATAAACAGACCGATTTAATGGATCATTGTGAACGTGTAAATCAACTGAAAGATCGTGCTGTAACAATAAATCGTGTATGGAAAAAATCACGTGATGATTTAAGTATACGTATCCAAGCCACACTGCTACAAATCTCAGAATTGTCGAATGAAAAACGTATTAAAACAGAGAAGTATCAATCTCAGAAAGAATTGTGTGATTTTTTAAAGGAACAAGTAAATTGAATCTTTGTTTTTTTTTTAAATTTATCTATTTAATATGTTAATATTTGTAAATGTTTTTTTTAAAAATTTTTCTTTGCTCGCGTTGAATAGTTCAGTATAAATGATAAGTAAACTTAAAATCTATTCTCTAATCGATACGATACATCCGTAATATACATCTATAATTCATAGGGAAAAGTGTTATTATGAGACGGTATAAATAAAAGGGTGTTTCACGAATGAATGGTTTTGCTCATATGAATGGCGAATATCAAGAAGTGACCGGGTGGAAGGTAAAAATCATTGATCATTGAACCTTGGGTGGAAGGTAAAATGTTTGCTTTTAACCTGGATGATCCAGTTAGTGATTTCTCACTTGATCATGGGTTTGCACCGAAAAAGATTCTTAAGATGGATTGAAAAAGCTGTCAGATACTTACTGATTTATCATGGTCTTTCTGGTAGGCATCGGTTCATGTGGTAATCTAATCTCAGGATGATGATTCCAGTTATAATAGCTATTGAAATAGGATAGCGGTTGAATCTGTGACAGTGAATTCCGATCACAACTAAGATTAACAGTAGATTGACCGTCTCAGAAATGACACAGATCAACATTTGCTGAGTGCGTCTTCCATATTTTAGCTTATACTCAACATTTAAGATTATTTTAAGTTTGAAATCCAAAAATTACTACAACGATAGATATAAGTTTGTTGGGTCCTGTTTTCAGAATCTGAGACTTCTTCAAACTGGTTTTAGGACTCCCTATATGACGTGAAAAAAAGTAGGTTTCTGTTCATGAGTGTATTCATCTAGCTATCTGAATTAGCTAAACCCGTCTAAAAAACAGTGTTGGATTAAGCTGATCGACCAGGTTGTGGAGTTAAATTGAATAAAGCTACCGTCACACCTGATTGGTGATGTTTCCTGAAATTGGTTGATGTTGGAAAACTTATAATGGTGGTTAGACTAAAGTATGCTGCGGATTCATGCAGTATTATTTTTTTACTCCTTTACGTTCCCAGTGGAACATAGGGCTACAAGCTAGAGACCTAAAGTTTCTGTAGCAGTGGTTTTTATTTTTACGGGATGGGGTTGCTAGCCCAATGCCCAACCTTCCCTCTTCGCCAGTCTTATTACCGGCTTATTGAGCGAGGTAAAGGAGTGAGTCGGCCGATGATCGAACCCCGGACCACATGAGCAGTTGGCGAGCATTCCACCACTGCGCCACCGAAGCACTGCAGATTCATGCAGTCATTAGGTAATGGCCTGCGTAGCGTATGAATAGTTGAGCTACCTGCATGAAGTCCACAAGGTCCTAAGAATAAATGGTCAGATACATTTCATGATCTGTCTTATAGTCGACGACAATGAAGTTGGTGTGTTCTGTACGTCCTCTGAGATATTTATGAGATGAATCTATCATACTGTATCATAATACTTCTGTTCTCATCTATCTAGTATTTCAGTTCGCACCAGTATGAATCTGTGCAAAATGTTAAATTGATTCGTGAATCAACTAATCAGTCACAGCTCTTACTAATATGCCATATTGAGTCCTGATCAGATAATTTGAATTATCTAGAGATAGATGCAGTCTGGACAGTAAAGATGAAATTCATCCGGTAGATAGAAGCTAAGTACTGTCCCATCCTTATGTAGATGAAAATGCTCAATTTTCTGTGAGGTTATAAGGGAATGAACCACATATTTTTTTCAGATACTGAAACTAGAGTATAAGAATTTTCGCAAATTAGAAAGTTCAAAATTTAGTGTATCAAAAGACTAAACATCACATTCTTTTTATATGTATTACAAAGTAAAAGACTGAAGAAATATAAAGGCAAAGACAGGAAAGACGGAAAAAGAGTAATTAATACCCTTCTTTAGATTAATTTTAGCTTATTTAGAGGAAATGAGCTTGATCAAAATTTCGTTATCAAGACAATTATTATTATATTATTATTATTGTTTCCTTTGGTTCCTAGAGGAACATAGGGCTTCAGCCGCACGTCTCCATTGCGTTCGATTCGCTACCAACGTTTTCACCTGGCTCTACGTCTGCCCACATGCTTTCATCTCCGCTTCACATGACCTCCTCCATGTCACCCATTCGGCTTCCACTCTAGGGCCTGTCTTGTGATGTCACTTGGTAGTTTGTTTTCTCAGAGTGTGGCCAATCCACCTCCATCTCTTCCTGCATATTTGGTACACACTCTGTCCCACCTAGGTTGGTTCTCTCCCAGAGATCCCTCCCTAATGCTGATCTTTTCTGGCCATCTGATCTTGAGTATTGAGCGAAGACAGTTAGCTGTTAATGAAGGTCTGTAGTTTGTTTGAGGTGCTCTTCATGACGCGCCAAGTCTCTGATCCGCATTGACTTCACATTGAAGTTGAAAATCCGGATCATATTCTTCATGCTGAGTGCTGTTGATCTCCACACAGACTTGAAAGTAGTGAAAGCTTGCCTTGCTTTCTCAACCCTTGCTTTGATATCCTCGTCAGTTCCGCCAAGACAGTTACAGACAAATCAAATAAGTGCAGTTGGAACCTCTTTTCCAGTTGCTTCTACTAAATCTACTGGTCCCAAAATAAATATTGTACCCTTTTATTACCTCCATATCTCTGTATTATGATCTTTCAATTAACCATTTTCTTCTCACCTCTTCAACTTCACTTATTTTTTCGGTAAATATCGTTCATTGTTTTCCAACATTCTAAACGTCTCTCTTTTCTATAATTATTGAACCTTCCATTATATATACTTCATCAGTGGTTCAGCGTTAGAATGCGCACCGACCACGTATTTGGTCCGCAGTTCGATTCCTGGCTGACGTACTCCCAAAACTCATTAAGCCAGCAGTAAGGCGGTTAGAGAGGGGAGGCTGGGATTGAGGCTAGCAACTCCACCAAGTTTTTAAAAAATAATAAAAATAAACTCACTGCTACCAAAACTTCAGAGGTCAAACTTGAAGACCTATTTTCCACTCAGAAAGTGAAGGAATAAAATTTAAAAACAAATAAAAATGTCTTTTTTTATATCATTTAAACTAACAATTCTCTGATCTACTCTTTTCATGACCTAGTCCTCGTATTTTTAAAACTTTCTATGTTAAAAAGATAAGTTTAGGAAGTGCAGATACAATGTACATTACATTATGTGACTTATATGATTTACTGTGAATAAATTAGTGAACGAATGTCATTCAGTGATTCCTAAACGTTGTTTGTTTGATTGTATCTTGGATTAATTCTCTCTTCTGACCTATCCTGGTCCTCCTATGTCTTAGCGATTTCTAAAAGAATATTTCGTCTGAATTTTTACATTAAGAAGTTAAGGCACTCAGGCATAACTCAACCACTCCTCTTACAATTTGTCAACTCGTGTATTTTACCTATTCTTCTTTACTGTTCACCCTTATTCTTTCCTGGATTGCTTAAAAAAACTATATCATACTTCGTAGAACTCTGAAGACTGTCAGCCAGTAGGGCGAGTGATATCCCATTGGGCCATATCGTTGACATTGTCACCGATAGGCACTTGATGTCATGCAACAAATTCGCTAAAGGAATTTTGTCAGACTTTGAGCACCCACTATACCCGCAGCTCCAACCTTGTGTCTTCTCAGGTAAAACAAGAAGTCTTTTCAGAAGAATTTATGCACGTACGTCTAAGTATAAAAATTCAACCATACCATATTTAACACGTACTTTATGTAATGAAAATAGTGTCTGGCATGAACTAACTAACCTTCTTAGCACTAGTAAATAAACCATTTCCTCCACCCTTACAACATCAACCTTTATTGTTATTGTATTTCTTATATTTATAATCCTCTCAGTTTTTTGTTTTGTTTATTTTTTTTCATAAGTGTGGACATAATTTAAGCTGTGTTAAAACTGTTAATTTTGTATTTTCCCTCACTATACTATATCAACAGAACATTAGATCCAATAATCTATAACATGCTAAAGTTCCCAAACTGAATCGACAATACCGTTTGAAACAAACTCACTGTTATTATTATTACTATTGTTTTGTTGTTGTTGTTTGTTTCCTTCACGTTCCCCAGTGGAACATAGGGCTTCAAGCTAGTGGCTTGAAGTTTCTGTAGCAGTGCTTATTTTACAGGATGGGGTTGCTAGCCTCATGCCCAACCTTTCCTCTTCACCAGCACTATTTCTGGCTTGGCGAGGTAAAGGAGTGCGTCGGTGGCCGGGGATCGAAGCCCGGACCATGTGCATGGTCGGTGAGCGCCCTAACCGCTATGCCACTGACGCACATTATTACTATTATTATTATTATTATTGTGTTTAATTATCTCACTTCGTGCTTCGAATATTTTTGACTTTATATCGTAAATGTTGGCAAACTCCTCTGGTTGATTTTGTTTTAATTTTATTTATATTTTGGGCAAATCAGATGCAATATTGTGACAAATGCTGAGAATTCCATTATGTATTATAAGTACTGTTTTTGGAATAAAATAGATTATTATTACTATTATTATTGTATATCTATTGATTATAAGTGACTGAATAATATACTTTAAATGCTCTGTATTTGTGGGTGTCTAGTCAGAAAGGATAATATAGGATATTTTACGTTTATTAAATGACTAATATTTTATTCTGCAAAGAGAATATTTCATCTTTTTTATATAAACGTAGCATTAGTAGTAGTAGTATACACCCAGTTTAACTAATTCACACCCATTTCAGTTTGTCATCTACTGAATCATCAAATCATTCATTACAGAAGAGGAAATGACTAGTCATATAGTTAGTTGTAGGGTATGTATTATCACTTATCTCAAGGCGGTATATGGCAACGTCTAGTCGAATTACTGTTTTGTTTAATATTTTACAAAATAACTTAAACTTGTGCTTCAGTTAGAATTAAACTTGACATAGGATATTGCTTATTGGAGTATGGTGGAGATTTGTAGCTCAGGTGGATAATTTTGATGTAGTTATCATTACTTCATTTGAAGTATGCGCTGAAGATGTTGCCTAGTAGGGAGATGAAAACTTTGCAAATAAACCATCCAGCTCAGAGAACACAACGACATCAAAAAAAACTATTGGAGTGAGATACAAAGTACGCTCACCTGCGCCACTGAATGTTATCCAACAAGAGTGTTTAATGAGTACTTAACTCTTACCGAAGTATGTCAAATAAATTAAACATATTATTATCAAACTGATTGGAAAGATATTGTGGGAGAGTGTTGTTAGAAGTTTTATTCTGCAGTAAAAAGAACTTAGTGGACAGTGACTTGATATTAACAAATATTGAATTTTCAAGTATTGGTTTTGTAGGGATTTTGTTTTGATTTCATCATGAGCTGACATCTATTAGAGAACCACTGGAAAACCTGGGAGTACTGGACAGCTGCTTCGTCCTAGTTTGGGGCTCTTCATCAGTACGCACTCACACTGCGGAGTTCGAACCCATGACCTCCTGGTTACAAGGCGAGCTCTTAGGACCATTGGATCGGGTCCCAGTGGCTCAATGGTCTACGAGCTCTCTGGCCTTGTAACCAGAAGCTCCTGGGTTCGAACCCTGGTGGTGAAGTGAATTATTGAGCATCTTGTGTAATGAAAAAAGTCAATTTAGTTTCATGAAATATCTTTTCCAATGCACATCTAATTCTTCTTTCTATTCCTGCTGATGCTTCTTTCCCTTTGTACACCAGACGAACAAAAATTGGTTTCTTCTCAACCATTATAAGTTTCAGTTTGAACGTTTCTTCTATTTCATATTTCATTGTGAACTTCCTGAGATATCTGTTCTCTTATTTCGGGGAATGTTGAAGACTAAGGAGTCTTAGGTAGCTATTATATCATACCTTGAAACACTTCTCGTCAGCTGTTTCCAAGACCTTATGAAAGATCAAATCAAAGACCAATAGTTTAAGAGGAGCGTATGTTACACTTTGACCACTGTGTCGAAAACTAACACCTCATTAATTTTTATGTTAATTATAAGTATTTATGAGTAAATCTGATTTGATATCCCTAATCAGTCAGAATATTCGATTTAAGTTGATGGACATTTATTTTAAAACAGCCACAGATGATTACATTAACACCATCTCAGTAACATAATGTGGCATAACACTGGTTCATATAAAGGTATTCCTCGTTATCAGTTGACTTTAAATAGGTAGATAGGTTGAAACTATCCAATGGTTAGCACCGAATTGAATAAACTCTTAAAATAACTGTCTTCAGAGTATAAACCAAGCAACCTGTCATTCATAAATATCTACAGATATCAACTCTTATAAATCTACTAGTTAAGAGTGAAGCTAAATTGAATTTCCTAGTGTATAAATTCTAAACTGTGCTTTCTTATGAAGTTTCACTCTATATATAGCCATCTTGTCTTGTTTATACTCGTAATAACCATGCATTTTATTGAAACTTTATAGTGTGATGTATAATTAGCTCTTTTTTGTTTTGTTTTATTTCTCGTCAATCTGTTTGTTATCTTAGGTTCAAAGATGGCGTAAAGAAAAACTAGAAATGAGTGAATTAGAAGAGAAAGAGAATGCAAAACTGAAAGCACGACAAGAAGAAGCTGAATCTATTAAAAAGGCTAAAGAGAATGCTATTAGAAAAGTAATCAAAGACAAGGTATTCATTCTTTAATGCATTTGTATATAATAAATTTATCCTCTCAGTTTTAGTATCTCTTATATTACCCAGTTATTAATAGAAGTTGCTGGTCAGTGAGTATTTAACTGTCCTAATAAGTTAATTCCATTATAGGTGAAATTTTTTTGATAAAGTCTCACAGTATTATACAATAGTAATATTTACTGATGAAGTTTCGAGCACAATTAATTGCCGCTCATAACCATATCAAGGTACTCACTTTTTTCATTTCTATTGCATGTGTTGGGTGTAGACTTGATGAACAAGGATTCAGTAATCAACCTTTCTCTCCACTTACCTATATTACTTTTCAGAATTTTAACCCTCTCCCACCCTCTTGTGTGGTTGTGTGTTATTGCATGCAGTGCAGTCGCTGAGCTTTCCTCTAAATTACTTATCTTGTTGGGATCAACCATTCTTACCTAAGCCACATTCTAATGTTCCGACAATCTGACTACACCCGACCTACTACTTTGACCTATGTAGTTGACTTAACTCACAGTCACTTCAAGGTATTTTGTAAATTATATCATTTTGTTTAATTGGGTCCACCGGGTCTTTTAGCCTACAGAGCTTGTTCCTGAGTGAGTTTGTAGGTTTGAATGCCACCATAATTCCTGTTTTATTGAGAATCCTACGTAGTGTTTCAGATGTCCCCTCCTTTTATGGCACAACAGTAGATGCCTTATATTCTCTCTTATTTATGTAATCATCACTAGTTTCACAATTATTTTTCTTTTGCTTTTGGCCTTTACTGATCTTCCTAATGAATTTTATAGGATAGTTATTTGATACCAACGCGTCTTCTGTCTGTTTTATTTCATCATTTAGGTCTTTTCTCGTGCTACTTAGTGCTACTGCCTGGTTTTTCATACACTTAACTAAGCCTGCCTTAACAGTTAACGGATGAGATGAATTAAAGTCTAAATATCTATTAGAATGCGTTGGTTTTTCATAAACGCTAGGGTGTAGTCTGCCTTCTTCTGTTCGTTCTATTTTACAATCTAACATAGCTAATTCTCCTTGTTCATTTTCCGATTCAAATGTGAATTTTATTCCCTCTACTAGTGGATTTATATGTGTCACGAAGTTAGAGATATGTTCTGATTTTAACACTGCGGAAGTGTCATCCACATATCTCCACCATATTTTTGGAGTCGGATTAAATGTATTAAAAGCCATATTTTCCCAGCTGTCCATAAATATATATCTGCTACGATAGGGGATATTGTTGATCCCATTGCTACACCTTCAGTTTGTCTATATATTTTGCCTTGGAATTTAAAGATAATAGATGTGAGGCATAACTGAATTCTTAAAATAATTTCTTCAGTGACTAGCTTCGCCCTAAGAGTAATCTAGTTAGGTGGAGAGAGAGGTTGATTACTGAATCCTTGTTCATCGGATCTACACTCAATACATGCAATAGGAATGACTCATCACCCATACCGGAAATATGGAAAATACTACTATCAATCAAATCAAGCGATGGAAAATAATGGAATTATATAAACGAAGTAAGAAAGTTGTGTGAGTACTGCCTTGATATGATTATGAGCGGCAATAAATTGTTCTCGAAATGTCATCAGTAAATATTACTACTGTATAACACTGTGAGACTTTAATAAAACAAATTTTATCTATAACAGAATTATACTCTACCACAGTGCACAAGTTTTATTCTTACATTAATAACTTAATGGTCATACAGAATGTGAAGAAAGTTCCGTTTGATTCCATTTCACTTTCTAGTAGGTTTCTACTGAAAGACTTGAAGAATTTATGTCTAATGTTTCAGAGTGTATGCAACGCGGAACAACTTTCAACTAGATTTCAGTGTAAATTTAATTATACAGAGCGTTCGTTATTACGTCAGTTAAGCACAGGTTAAATATCAAATTAAACGTCATTATTATCTTGCTGCAAGTCAAACAGAACGTTGGGCTGTTAACTGGTTACATCCCTATTTCTCAGAAAGAAAGCAGTACACCGTGTATAAAGGGAAGTTTTCCACTTCATTGCCTACTGAAGCTGGTGTCCCTCAAGGCGCTGTCCTTTCTCCTTTTCTTTTTTCTTTATTCTTACATTACTTACCTCACTCTGATGAAATAAACTTTGTGAAGTACGCTGATGATTTAACAGTTTCAATGGCTGTTAACTCCCAGCTAGATTGTACCAAAATAGATAGCTTTCTGTCGGGAGTCAGTAAATGGTCTGAGTCTAACGGTCTTAAACTGAGTCCTTCTAAATGTCAAACTGTTGATTTCAGCTTAATATATAAACGACAGTTAAAAGAAGCCGTCGATTCTCATGACAGTTGTAAGATTGATGACAATGATATAGGAATTAAATCAGAAATTAAGTATCTTGGACTTATTCTCTCTTTTGATCTCTTCTGGTCTTCCTATGTCTCAGCGATCTCTAGTAAAATATTCCGCCTGACATTTTACTTTAAGAAGTTAAGGCACTCGGGTATAACTCAACCCCTCCTCTTACAGTTCATAAACTCTTGCATCCTACTTATTCTTTTTTATTGTTCACCCTTATTCTTTCCTGGTTTGCTTAAAAAGGACTATGTCACAATTTCTAGAATGCTGAAGACTGTCTGTGGGATGAGTGGTGTCTCAGTGGACTAAATAGTTAACTTTGTTGTCGATAGGCACTTGACTTCGTGCAGTAAATTTGCTAAAAGGATTTTGTCTGACTTGGAGCATCCACTTCACCCTCAGCTTTCACCTTGCATCTCCTCAGGTAGAACAAGAAGTAACTTCAGAAAACTGTATGCTCGCACGTCTAAGTATAGAAATTCTATGATACCGTACTTGGCACGTATTTTATGTGATGAAAATAATGTCAGGCAAGAATTAACTACCCTTTTTTCATCCAGTAAATAAACAATTTCTTCCATCCATCCTTATATACCTTGAAGTTTTACTTTTATTATTTCTATTATATTTATGGTCCTATTGCTTCTTTGTTTTTACTTTCATAACTGCAAACACCAACTTATCTCTATGATTGCTGCAATCTTTGTTTTTTCCCTCACCATATCATGTAAAGAGAACATTATGTTCAATATTTTTAATCATGCAAGGATTTGTATACCGCATCGACAATACTGTGTGAAACAAGCCCACGGCAAATTCCACTTGTATTATTATCATTACCTTAGCTGCTATCATTATTATTATTTCCATTTTATATGCTGCATGTTTTTTTGACATTACTCCTATTGTAAATGTGGAAAATTTTCTGTGTGACTAATTTTTATTTATAATTTGAGGAAATTAGATGCAATATTGTGATTAATGCTGAAAATTCCATTCTGTATCACAAGTACTGTTTTTGGAATAAAGTAAATTATTGTTATTATTATATAAACTACCTTTATGAATCCGATTGGACTTGATACCAAAAGAAAACTGGATTAAGACAGGATAAATGACTGACCACTTTTCAAGTGAACTATTTAGAACATATATTATCTCAGACTGTTTCAATAGTAAGTGAAACAGCGGAATTCCAAATTTGTTTTAATCGCCATCAGGTTTCATTACATAGTTGTATCATTTGAAGTAGTCTTTTATACGGATGCATTAAGTGTCAATCAGAGAAGGGTTAACAACTTAAGATTACATAATTCGTTGAGTTAATTGCTACTATTTAGCCTTACCCTTCACTATGTTCATTAAAATATTGATTGTGTTTTCAATTCATGTTCACTTTTAAGGTATAATTGACTCGAAAGAAATAACATTTCTTTGACTTTTCATGGTTTTTTTATTGCATCGCATTATTACATCCATGTTACTGCAGTTACTGAGTATACTTTATGACAACTTCTGTGCGTTTATAAAGTATCTATGCATGTGAATGTACCTTTATGATTATTGTTATTATTGAGATTATTTGCAATCGTTCTGGGTTCCATGGGCGTTTCAGTTTGTACCAAGACTGTTTTGCTAAAAGGTGAAAGCAACGTTCAAATTGAAATACCTTTCCCAGTTTATTACTCACTCAGGAATATCAAGCAGATAGTAGATCATTTCAATAGTATCGCTTCTGACTAGAGAAAAAGCATTAAATAGGTAATATATTTAGACAAATTAGGAAGTTAATCACTGAATCGTTGTTCTTCAAACCAATACGAAACATGTGAAACTAAAATAATGCAACGTTTAAACCGGATATGTGGAAAACGGCAATTAAAAACCTCCAGGAAGTGAAAGCATATAAGGCAAATTATGAAACCTTGTGATGAATACACTGATAAGATTATGGGTGATAAATTGTGCTCGAAGAGTCATCTAATTTAGTAATACTGTATCACTGCATATTGCATCAAGTAAACCTATCTAATATGGAACTGCATTCTACCACAGTGTCCGAATTCTACTCTTGTATTCATTCCTTCTCAATAAGCCTACTAATATGACCACTTCATTGTTAAACCAGAAGATTTTTGAGGTTTTATTCAATGTTTAAATGAAACTCAATCACTGGCTTGTTTTCTTATAGCTAACAATATTAACTTCCCCACTGTAAACCTAAAAAGATTCCAAACTTTGACTTCAATGATCAGTAGGTATTGTAGACGAAAAAGAAGGCAACCTGTCACGAGCGCATATAATAGTGAATAGTTATTCGAATGTGTTGTCGGAACTCAACTGCACAAAAGGAAAGAGATATGAAATCAAAGATACGGTCTTAAGTTCAGGTAAATGAAAAGATCGATAAGATTACTTTTTTTAGAGCTCAGTCATATTAAAAAAAGACATCTATGAGAGATTTTACATGTAGAAATTCAAGGGACTTTGGGATATTTATTTGCGATGTTTCGTTTAAAAAACTGGTCCAAACTTCTTAAGAATAATAATGATAATAATCAAAATTAAAATATCATAGTTGTAAACATGAAATATAGGCTACATGTTGTATTCAGATTCTTTGTCCACTCAAGTGTAAATGGTGAAGAATTT